TCAGCAAGCATTTCGTTTGACTCAGCTCGCTAAACTCTTCACAATCTACGTCAATCTTCAACCATAATAGAACTGTTTAAGAGCTGCACAAAACCCCCAACTTCCTCATCAATGAATCTGAGTACTTTAGGGCGATGCTGAGCTAGCTGATAAGAGTCATGACCTTTCTTAGCTGAACATACTATGAAGGTTTCCAAAATTAAATTTCTGATCCTAATCTGTCAAAAAATGCAATTACATCTTGTTTAGTACTGAAATAGAGCTTCATTAAAGCACACTTGCTGTGGCATAACCAAGTAGCTCAGGTAAGGAATATTGCAAGGAAGGAGCGCTAATGGGAGGGAAAGAAGTGGAGCTGGAGAAGCAACAAAATATAACTGAGAGAGATGAATGTGTCAGAGAAAAAATGGTAGCTCTGACAGGGGTAACCCTAGAAAGTCTTAAGAAAATGCTGACAAGGCTTACAAAGGACCAAAAGGGTACAATAAACAGGCCAGCTAGAATCACAGACCACATTAGTGGGGAAAAGCTAAAAAGTAATAATTACAGAAACAAGAATCACCATCTTTCCTGTCTGCTTTAGGGCTCTGCTGCTGAATTGTCTTCAGCCTGGTACGGGAAGAAATTTGCTGACTTAAGAGGTGAGGCTTTGGATAAGCAATAATTTATTAGGTTTTAGACTTTCCACTCCTGGTTGAGTATCACCAGCTATCCTTAACATACATCTGCATCACCAGAAAGCTGTGGCGAGAGCTGCTAGACTCTCACTGTCTTCTTATGCACTGCAGGGGTCAGGACATCATACTGACATCTCTGAAACCCTGCCTCTGAGTTTATCACTGGAGCAAGGTACAAATGTGGGGGATATTACTATAAATGGAAATATTTTTTTGTGATTCCTCTAGCAATGCTTAGCTGAAAGGAAGATCAATACCAAAGGCTGAACCAACAGTTATTTGTGCCTATTAATGACTTCCTGTGCTTAGGAACCTGTCTTATGTAAGGATGCTGCTGTGTCAGGTGATCCATAAAAAAAGATGGTCTAGCTAAACTGACAGGTTAAGCAGGCTTGTTTGCTGACAGAGCAAACTGACCAGTTCAAGGTATTAAACTGAAAGTGATTAGGCTTGAATCTGACAAAATCAATCTGTGTGTGGGCGGGAGACTGGGACACATACACAGACCCAGCTCAAGGGAAAAGTCAGCCTTTGCAGACCTCAAAATCCAGGGAAGCAAGCTGTGCTTAAAATGGAGTAGCTTCAAACCAACCCTTCATTTGGATGGGACATGAAGCACCTGGTCCTTATAGGGACTATGGTGTGCTTTCAAGGCAGCCAGTCCTACATGGGCCAATGCACAGCGTTTTGCTTTCTCTGTACAAACAAGCCCTCTGCTGGGCAGAGTTTGAGAACATACGATTCTTGGTGTGTCTCTTCCTGACAGGCTGTAAACACTCAGTCCCCTTCTGGCCCATCCCAGTTGTCAGCCAGCTGTGCACAGCTCTTGCTGGCAGAGAAATATGGAGACAGCAGCTTTGGCTTGGGCCCACATCTGGCCATTCTCACTTCCACAGGTGGCCACTGACTGACAGATGGAGAAGATCTACAGTCATCCAGGCAGAGAGATGCTCTAACATACTCTACTTAGGACATAAAGTGATGGCTAAACCGCAGCATAATGGGCAACTTTGCCTGGTCACTGCTGCAAAGAACAAAGCACAAGAAAGAAAGCTCTTTCCAAACACGGAACATCGCTCTCTTTCGGTTTCTATCTCTCCTACTCAAAAATTAAAACATAAAAGGCCCAAACTCTGACTTTGTTGTCTTCACCATCTGAAAAAGAAAACTAAACCAAAGCTAAAGCACTAGCTGTTAATGAAAGCAAAGACAAACCAGAAACCAAAGAGTACTGTGCCTTCTATTAGCGGGGTGATGAGCCAGCTGCTGGTGTGGGATGCAGAGTAATAGTCTCCAGATGATGCCTCATATTAGCTGAGTAACCAGGAGCTAATCCTGACAATTCCACTGGCTTTCTGTGTACCTGCAGGCATTGGAACCCCTTAGCATGTTTCTCCATCTGCAAAAATGAAGGTAACAGTAACTTAGTTTTCCTCATGTGAGGATTCAAGTAACACACTGAAAAAAACCTGTAAAGATGTAAAGAGGTCTGTAAATCTACACATTTTTTACAATCTTTCCCTACTGAGGTTTATGCACACCAACAAGTTACACACATCTGCTTACATGTGCAATGTACGTGCATAGTGAAAGTGGCATGTAAGCTCGTGATCTGTACTTTCCAGGTAGATTTTTAACAACTTTCAGACCCTATCTACAAAATCTTCAGGAAAAAAAGAAGCATCCACTGACACCAAATTATCCAGATTAGAGGCCTTAATGAGAACAGAATAAGAACTGTGTCCCCGCCTTTCATAATTCAATGCCTGAAAGAACCTGGCAGAGTGGAACAGTTGAAGAAAGTAATTTCCTCACCAGTAGTTTAACATAATCTTTCACAATGTCTCACTGAAATAATCAAGCTTTCTCTATTTAATACATTAAACTTTCTCTCTAAAAAACCTGTATTCAAGGAAAGAATATAATTTCCCCAGAAATACATAATTTTGTTTGTTCTATGAAGGACAAGAACTAGGAAAGAGGATGGTGTTGTCTTTGTTGTAAAATGCCTGGGGCAAGCTCTGTGCTTCCAATAAATGCAGAAACTCACTGAGCAAGCTATTAACCTAACAGCATGTGAAAACTACTTCACTGACTAGTTGTCAAAGTTACCATTCACTACAGAAAGCTCTGTATTTTAGCCCTCCAAAAGTGTTTCAGAACCTCTGATTACTAGGCTTTCCAGATACAAGGGTGTTTTACTGGCAGGTGCTATAGAATTTCCCCCGTGTGTTAGCAAAACATAAATCAGGCATACAGCCCTAGATGTGGACTTTTCCAGACCGGTGTCAGAATCCTTTCCTCATTCTCCACCTTCTCCTTCAGAAGTGTCTGTGCACACAGACCACCCAGCAGACCAGCTGCCCTCTATTAACTTTCCCCTTAGGATGCATGTGTCTTTTTTGTTACTGTATGTCCCTTGAAACATGGGAATCAGCTTCAGTTTCAGCAGAAGGACTGACTGACTGCCCTTCAAGAAGGCTTACTATTTGAGTTGATTTTTCCGGAGGAATTGTCACTGCTATAAATTTGACCAACAGGAATCATCCAGTTGCTTTCTCAGCCGTTCTCCTCATTTTGAATGGATTAGCTAACATAATGCTGAAGAGGATGCACTGAGATAGTCACTCTCTGCTCATGTCTGTGACTGCATACCACACTGTTCCCTTCTTCAGCCCTTGGGCTCTGCCCCTACAACACTGCAGATTCTGCAAAAGAAGCCATAAAAAGCTGTGCACTCTTAAGATGCCCTTGTCCTCATTTCCATCCATCAGTTCAAGCTCACTTTCCTGTAAACTGGTTGGTAATTGACACTTTCCCATTCTCTAAAGAGGCTGAGAGATGCCTGGCGTCTTCATGCATTTCTTCAAGGCTTGGGGTGGAGTGCTAACTGCTATGCAGCAAGATGGTAAGTGACCTCTGGCCTTTAAGTTACAAAGGTGACTTAATAAAAGCCTAGAGCCACCCAAAGTGTGTACCTCAGACAAGGATCGTTGCTACCCAGTGCTACCAGCTGTGTCCACAGGACTAGAAAATTACAGCTGGCTTGTCCACTGCTGAAAGTACATGAATGCAAAAGCAGCATTTATCAATTTTAACTGATTGAGCACATCAAAGCAATTAGGAAGATCTAGGCAAGCCACACCAGGGGATGTAATTTCTTTCCATGGAGTATTTTGTGTTCTGATATAAAGTCCAATACAACATCAAGTACTATTGATCAGTTTCATACCAGTGCTTCTAGGAGCCCAACAGAATGAAAATACTATGGAAAAAGGGAGAGTAAAAGCACAGGAAATCACACGAGGTTTTACAGGCCAAGCTTCTTGTGTTAAACCAGAGCATTTTCCAGAGCCTACAGTGGTGGGGAAACGGTGGGTGTTTTTGGAAAACAAAGATGTAAAGAAAAAAACCTGTCTAGTGGAAGATGACAGAGCTAAGAAACAAGCTGTGGTTCGGTTCTGTTACTGCTTCAGTACATCTTTGATCCTTTTACCTCACGTGTTCTTGAGAGATTAAAACTCTGCCATCACTTAGAAAATCTGATCTCACGGCGCATTAGCCCAGTCAGTCTATGAGCTGCTTCCAACCCACCATTCAGCTCTGACATACTCTACACCAACCTGAGGCGAGTGAAAAGGCCTATTTCTATTGTAGCAAATGAAATAAAATTACTTGAGTCATGTGTGTTGAGGTACAGAGGTCAGCACTATATTATAAGCCTTCAGTTTTTATATGATCAGCTTAGTGGTTACTGCCAGAAGCAAGACATCCAGACAGTTCCTGGTTCACATGTATTCTAACTAGTAATGATTTGAATTTGAACAGGCAATGCCAAGAGGAGAAAAGGTTTCACTGAAGTTACTGAATACTTCGCTGAAATATATGGATAATGTGTCCACTACTGATTAATAGTAGGAAAGAATGAGTGGCAAGACAAACTGATGTGTCTGACAGTAATTGCTCAAGTCTGTAATTTCTAAAATAGGTGCTTCCATATATGTAATTTGTGTATTTGACAATTAATCCTATCTACATATATCACCCTTGCAATTGCCACGAAAAGTTTGAGACATTATAACTTTAAAATATCACAACAGCTGTGTTCTTTCCACCCCCTTCCCATTCGAATACCTTCATTCTTGAGCTCAGGTCCTGAATTTCCAAAAGCAGATCTTTCAATATCCAAGGTGAAAACAACACAGCCAACAACCGTTAACTCCCTCCAGTGGAGCAACTGCATCTTTCCAAAGGAGAAGGATGTTACTGTTGCATTGCCTAGATTATTTGCAGTCTATATAACCATAGTGACAGGTTCTGTGGTTCAAATTTTTAGCACAGAGCTCCTTTAATGTTAAATTCAACTCAAATATAAAATCCATGCTTTCTGCTGCATCTTCTTTTAAGACCTTTGCCTTTGTGTTTCCAGGTTGGACAGATTCACAGCTGCCTCTTTCACACTGAGATTTGCACATCTTTTTCTTCAAAGCATCTAAGATATGCAGCTCACACTGCAGAATATTGAACAGTCAGGACAATTTCATATGGTAATTTCATATGCACTCTTGGTAACTAAAAAGCTATACAGAGCCAACCACTGAAAATAGAAGTGACTTCTTTCTCCACTGCCCACAAAAACTATCATCATTCCTGTGACTCATCACATCAGAATCCAGAAAAAAAGCATATGGTATGAATAGTTCTTGTTAAAATTGCACATCTTTAAGCTCTATTAGGCTGGGTCCAGAAGATTCTCCTTCCTGAAAATGTTTCCGTATGCTCCAGTTTCTTCAAATGCCTATACTCAGCTGAGGTACCTGAAAGCAGTGGTATTTTCCTCATACCTGCACCATCTCTTGGTAATTGGTCTGTATTCATGATTACTGAAAATACTAACAGTGAAATACAAACAGATAGCTCAGTAGTGCTTATTGGGTCCAGGCAATCTCCTGCATATAGAAACAGAATACCCTAGATGTCCCTAAGGAAATGCCAACTACAACGCTGGAAACTTCATGGGACAGCTAAGGACAAAGGACAGAGGTGCTTCAAATGGACAGCAGTTTAACAGATGCTTTCTGATTTATTGTTCTTACGTAAGTTTTCCTGTTCTTTTCTGTTTCTAAAACTTGCTTCCATAAGCAAAGCAATCAATATAGTAGCATAACTGTATAAGTAAAGCTGTGGAGATATAAGAAAGTCTATGTAAGGACTATTTTTCACTCTAAGTTATTTTATCCTGGTAGCACAATCACAGTTCCAAAATAATTTACCTTAAGCTCAATAGATCTTCTTTCAGCAGGAAGCTGGAACTATTTACCATAGACAAAAACACCAGGGAAAAAAGTGAACAAAAATAAAACACAATGAGTATTGAAAAAGACATGACTAGAAAAATTTGACCTTTTAAATGGAATTGTCTTTGCAGACAGCACTTTCCATCTGAAATGTCCAAAGGACTTTTGACTTTTTATTTTAGTCTGTAAAAAGACTGTTAAACATTTGCTTTTTTCCCCACTTTAATTCATTTTTCGCATTTCACAAAACAAGGTAAGAGGCAAGCACACTAACCAAGACTTGAGACCAGATGATACTACAATGGCAAACAGTACACCAGAAATGTTCCTGCATAGGAGAGGGTGGGGGAGGAAGACTGGCTGACGCATTTGACAAATTCGTGTCTGTTCTGATGGACAGAAATAATTTGCATTAATCATTACAAAAATCATACCTGTACATAACAAAAAGAAACACAAATGCAGACAGATTGTGCATCTCTTGGTGACTCTGGTTTGGACATTTATTTAAAGGAAGCACTGAAACAGGGAAGAGCAAACCCTGTGCACTTCAAACTCCAAGAAAAGCCTTGCATTTGACTTTGACCCGACAGAGGAACAGAAATATGGGATAAAAAATTTTCAACACAAATTTTCTCCATTACTAGAGCTCTCGCTCCTGAATGGCATTTGTAAAAACCCAGAAAAAGTAGGTTTTAAGATACATAAGTAATTAAAAGGTCAGACAGCTCCTGGTATGAACAAAAATCCGATCCTGAATTTCTGAGACAAACAGCATTCCTCATTCTGCCTCAAGTCGAGGTAAGACAGGAAGAATAAGATTTCCAAATGCAGAGTCTTGAGTTATGAAGTATCCTGAGGAGTGTGCATGTGCGTGCTGGAAAGAGAAAAGCATTTGTTAAAGTATAACTCCCTGCAGCGCTGGCATGATTTAAGACTTCATGGCTTCTGCAGCATTTATTACTAATTTCTCAGTCTGCTCCTTAATTCTGGTAGTCAAATTCAAACCCAGCATTTTAGATCAGCCACATCAGAATAGGGCCCATCAAAACAATTAACTTGGACATTCTCTACTGCTCTTTTCAGCGAACCCCATGGAGGTGGGACAAATTAATTGTGCCTGATTGCCCTTCTTTGCCTAGACCCCATGTTTTCACTTCCACTCCCTTCCATGACCAGCCTGCAAGTCTTGTTTTATGACAGCTGCTACATGGAGTGCCACTAGACACATTCCCAAACATAGGACACCAGGATTCTGCTCATGTGATGTGGATACACACTTGCTCACCTGAGGGAGACAGCTGCTGTATGGCTCTGGAACACCTTTGTGAAATCCTACATACCCTTTCCCAGTTCAAAGGCTGGATTCCAGCAAATTAGATGTTCTGCATATTCCCTCCCTCCATGATTGGGAAAGAGCCCTGCTGGATCTCAAATTTGTCCTGAGCCTGCAGTATTCCCTTGGAGTGATCAAGGCCAACTGGCACAGTGAGGTGCTGCAGCAACAGCAGGGCCAGCAGGCCAAGGGGAGCTATCTGAGCTCACTCTGAGATACAAACCGGAGGGAGTTCAACAGAAACACAACGAGGGGCTGGGTGGAGCTCTCCATGCCCAAGAACATGTTTCGTCATAACAAAGGAGAGTTCACTTATGACAAATACAGAAATGTGAGATACCTAATCTCTAAAAAGTGCTTTTCAATATCTGTAGGAGCAGGGCTGCTCTCTGAAGGGATGTACATCTAAAACAGAGCCAGGCTGAACTCGGACTGTATCAGCTCACCTGCAGTGCAGCCTTCTGTTGTGCTGCAATGTGCTGTTGCTCAGCATGATCACGAAAATCCTTATTCAGAGGTGATCTTGTAAGTGCAATGCTGCAAGAAAGAACAAGATGGTATGACACAGACCACAGCCAAAACATGTGTTCTTGCCATTCTAGCCATGGATACCATTACTTCCCGAGCTCTCATTTCACTCATGGCTTGAAAATTGTCAGTTACTGTTTGGAATTACTATTTGTAAATATAAGAGAAAAAAGGGCAGATGGAGTGACCACAGCTGTATCATTTGAGCTATCATAAACAATTCCTGCAAAACTAAACTTGAAGTCTACTGTGGATTTTGCCCATGGGTTGAGTCCCACTGAAGTCAATGAAACCACTGGGGTGCAGTGTTAGCACAAAACTGCTTTAGAGATTCCTTGCACTGTCTTTCACCACTACTCAGTCGCCAAGTGACTGCTCTAAACAACTGTGATAAACAGAAGCACTAACAAGAGCTTTGCAGAGTTCAGTATAGGAACAGGTCTTTGATGGAGGGGGAAGCAGTTCACTACCCATGATAAAGGAGCTTCCTATTGATGTTAACTGAAAAAATGATCCCTTGGTAACAACTTGCAGTACCTAAAACTGATTTAGCTTATCTATCTCAGTGCAGCATAAGGTTTCAAATTAAAATTTATGCTTTTTCTTTAAGATGTTTTATACCTTAGGACTTGTCTGCCTTCTTAAACGAAAAAGAAGACATAAAAAGCACCCCCAACTCTATATAAGTAACATGGAAATCAGACCAGGGTTGCCATTAGAACTGTATCGAAAGACAATTCTCAACTACCTCTGAAACTGTCACTGGAGACTGCTTCTGCAAACCCTGCTTTTACCAATCACAGAGACAGAAGTACCAATGACAAGTATTCCAAGAAAATTCATCAACTAAGTTTTACCAGCAGTTTCAATGTCAACAACTGATGTAGTAAATCAGTTTTTGAAAAGCAGCCATGATGCTCATGAAAAGATATGCAAACCAAATCTATGCCTAAATGCATAACAAAAGCTAAACAATTCAGAAAAATTTTTGCTTGTGCTAAAATGGTTTCACTGCTACTGCTGAAGAAGAGTACTACTCAGTTTATTTAAAACACAGTATTTTCAATGATTTTGAAGATCGTTAATTTGCATTTGAGCTGTACCCTCTAACTTTTCAATATGATTTCTGTAGATAAGCTTAAGGCTCCGCCATAAGCTGACCTTTTTCAAAAGAGGTCTTGTTCCTGGATACAGGATTTTCACATGCCAAGGCCGGAAATCAACTCATTCACCCTTATGCTGTCCCTGCCACTGTTATGCTTCAGGTACATCAAGCTCTTTTGGTGAAGTTTGCACAATTTCTATGGTCTCAATTCTGACAACTTTGTGGTCCAAGACCTTTGGCACAACATCAAAAAACGGTCAGCTTCTTAAAAATCACACATCAGCCCACCATGACAAAGCAGAGAGTCTGACTGATACATTGTAGGTGCCACCCATGTCCACCTTCAAAACTAGGAAATTCTAATTCTGCTCACTAGAATACAGTGTTATACTTCCTTAAAGAAAAAAGAGAGTAAACAAGCATTCCCGAAGCTCTATCAGACTTATAATGAAGCACAGAAACACTGCTGCCAGGAGTCAGGAGTTGTACATAACAGCATGATATTCTGATTTTCTTTCCAACAATTTTGCTCAAATAATAACCACATACAATTATCATTAATAACTTCTTACCTCACTCAGAAGTCTGCATCAGGCAATTTCAAGTATTCTGCATGTTTTTTGACATTATGAAAGAATTTAAACTGCCGAAGCATCTATTCAGTAAAATACATGGGCAGCACTCAGACTGTAGTCAGAGTATTTGACTCTTGCACAGGTGTTACGAGTTACACTGGGTCTAGAATGTGGCACTACACTTACTTCATGCTAAGCCCAAAGTTTAAGGATATCAATTTCTCTACATAAATTATTGTGTGATTTTCTAGTTACTGATTTATGACAAAAATCTGATCTCCTTGTCTTGTATGGAAGAAATCCCAGTAACAGCCCTTCAGTTCAGATTAGATTATTACACTTTATAGACTTTTATAGACTTTATTACACTTTATACACTTGTAGAATCATCCCTACAACACAGCATCTTTTACAGGATTATCTGCTGTAACATAAACTGGCTTTGTCTTGCACATAGGGAGTTTCAAGAATAACTCACGCCTGCTCTAATTGCTCTTCTCTAAGCACACAGAATCCTGAATCTAATGGTCTGCTACTTTCATTCCCCAGAGGATTTCAGCTTAATAATGAAATGTTTTCTCAGTGTCTGCTTCCTGATTTTTCATTATGGTAGACGTTAATACACTTGAGTAAGCATATCTGCTTCTCTCATTCTCAAATGGAAATGATATAAGCCAAAATTCAGCTATAATAAACCATTTTAAATACTAGTATGTTCCTAAAGAGCAATGTCCCTCTGCCTTGTTATTAAGGATGGTCAGAAAACACTTCTGTTAAGTATTTATTTAAGTTTACAGCTCACTAGCTGTTTGGCTTTTTTCCTTGATGTAGTCAGTGATGTCCAAACAGGTCTAAGAACATAAAATACCTGGCTCCAGGGTGATTTGTGGAAGACTGGTTTTGCATAAGTAACTTTCTCTTCTCCTTGTCTAGTTCTGCCAGGATTGCAACCCTATTTTTATTCTGGAAACCTGGTGAGAATGACAGAAAAGTATTAGAGATATTTATTTAACTTCTGAGGCCCAACTCTAACTCAGTGGAATCAGAAGTCCCTGTACAAAATTACTCTAAGATCAATAAACTGATCTTCAAAGCTTTGTACCCATTTGAAAAGACTAAAAAAAATAGATTCAAAAAATAGACTTCGTTTTTTAGCATGCAATAGCTTCCATGAGCTATCATGCATATTAATACATTTTAAAATAGTGGCTTTTCACTCAAGTTAGATCCTATCCCTTCCCAAGCCAGTTCTGGAGCTAAAATCAAGGTTTACGATCAAATAAGTGCCTTCCAAAAAAAAGAAGTAGACTTACCAGATGCTAAATTTAAAAAGTAGTCACTGAATGTTCAACTCAACAATAACACTGGAGTAATATACACATGGAGCTTAATTTCTCATGTCAGTGAACTCAAACTGTAACACAAGTATTATATATATAACAGGTAAGAATGAACAAATCACTAAGCTTGCGCATGTGTTTACACAAACATCTTTCACTCAATCTATGAAAAGAAGTTTAAATATACTGTGTCCTACACACACTACCCTTATTCTGGGTATGATCAAACGCTGGAATAGAGAAGCAAAATTAAACTATTAAACTGTCTGTACACAATACAAGAATGTGGCCTCCATTTGCTTTCATCATTCTTCCAAAGAGACCTTGAATGCTACAGAAGGGGTCAGGAAGTAGGATGACTTGAGAGATTTTTAAAAATGCCCAAAATAGCTGCTATCTATGTATTTTTCAAAATTTTTCAAAATTGACTTCTAAATGCAAACACGGCGAAACTCCTTCACTTACACAGGATTCATATAATAAAGGATCTCACTGCAGCCCTCAAACAAACCAGATGCACAAGCCCCTGCTGTTTCCCAGTATGCCCAAACAGCACAGCTGAGGACAACAGCTTCGGAGCTGGCTCTTACATGCCTCTATGCTACCAAGGACACTTCTCATGTCAGAAATACACACTTTTTGAATCTCTGATTTACTGCTGTTCTATACATAGCAAACTATGACAATATAATTAAAAAAAAGTCAAGTTCTCCTTTATTTTCTCCACACAAAAAGTCCAAGATTCCCACTGGAAAGTGTTGCGTGCTGTGCCCCTGCCCTGAGAACTGTCTTAGTGACAGCAATAAAACATGGTAGCCCACAAACTGTTAGGAAGGCCTTAACTCTTAAGGACATGATTAGCATGTCAAGGTAAAATGATTTATTTTCAGTAGCTGCACTCAAAGTTCATTGTCTTTGACAGACCTTGTGCTGATGCTTAATTACATAGTCCAGTATTCCTTTCACCTTAATGAAGGAGACAATTACCAGAGAGAAATCTTCAACTCTAAATAACAATTTGCATCTGTACTGCCTTGTTATCCAACACTTACCTTTTTCTTCTACTATCCCTAACATACACACCCATAAACTTCATTGTCTCAAGAGTTCTTGAATGGAACAGTCTTTTGATGACATTATATTGTACCATGGTTTTACATAAGATCACCCATAATAATTTCAACATTTGTTAATAAGATTTTCAGTAAGATTTACTTAAGTGGTATTTTTCTGTCCACGAATTTCTCCTTCCTATGTGACAATAGCTTCATTTAAACTCTGTTTGATATGAGTATTTATTCAAGCCTTTAATATTTCTCTGCTCTTCACGTATTGTACACTGTTTTTGTTTTAAGACCTAGCACTTGCAGTGATTTGGAAACCTTAAAACACAGCTAACATACAAAGGCTGACAAATCTTGCCAACAAGCTAGGATTTAACATTTATGAGCTGCAGCCAGCCCAGATTTTATTTCCTTGTAAATTCTAGAAACAATGCGGGAATAGGATGACTGAATCACCTCCTAGAGGGTCTGATCTGAAACAACCACATTTGTATACCCATTCTATGCAATTTTAATCCAGAAACCTTGACATATTACTCAGCACCCTTCTAATACTGCTTGCTTATCCTGAACTGCATAAATTTAAATGCATGCTTGGTATTCAGAAGATACGATGATTAAGGAAAGAAAAAAGAGACCACATTTTAATATAAGATTGTGATCTAAAAAAATTAAGATTAAACATGCTTAAATTTATATGAAGCAGATGGTATGATTCGGGAAAGCCTAAGACATTTTAAATGCTGTTTTTAAACTGTGATGAGAAACTGTAGAAGATTCTGTCTTCTATTTTGAACCTTGTTACAGTATCTGGTAGAAGAAACTCTACAAGTATTCAAAATAAACCCAAGTATTTTTTCTTTTCTTATACCTCTTCTAAGAGCTTTGTAGTGTGTTTTTTGTTTGATCGTTTGTTGGCTGGGTTTTTCAAAAGTAGTATATTGCACTAGAGTTCAGATCATCAGCAACTGCTGTGCTGAAAATGTCAGTTGTTTAAGAGAATTTGTTATTGGTAAGGAGAAAAAAGCCTGTTCAACACACACTTTAGCTGAGCAACATGATGTTCCTGCAGGTAAACTTCTTCAACATACAAAAGAAAGCCTGTTCATTTTAAGGTTAACAATGGACGGGGTGGAACATTAGAAATCCATTTTAGGGAGAAATTCTGGCATCCCTAGAAAGCAATTAACCATATCTGGCAATATATAAGCAAGACTTTCATTTAGATTCTTCACTGTTGAGGAACCCAAAATGCTTTCATAAAGACTAACTAGAAACTCCTACAGAAAGAAGTTTCCTGTTTCAATTATAAATAACAGTAATTTTTCTTCTGCAGATTTGTCTGTCCTGCTATCTTGTACTAAAAATCTGGACATGCAAAAATCAAAAGCCATCCTTAGTATAGACCAGATTCTCATCTGTGAAATCAAATGCAGATTTTCAAACACACTTCTTCCTAACAGACCTTTAAATTCAGACTTTCCTTCACTGGGCTGAGTTGCACTAATATTTTGAGTTCAAACACTTTGCATATTGTAGTTTATTAATATTTTTCTCTGCTTTTCTGACATGAGTCTTGACACAAAATGACCTGTTCAAGGCAGCTAAATAGATTAATGGCAGTGTCAGATGTCAAACTGAGCACCTAGATCCTCAGATTACTCTCTAATGTAGAAGGTTCAGGACATAAAAAATTTAAATCTTTCTGACACCTCTATTTCTGACATCAAGCATTGTATCTGTGCAAGACTGGAAAGATTACTTGCACCTGTTTTCTGCACATGAAAGGCAGAAAGCCAGAGAAATCTGTAACTTTGCTGAGTGATGCTGGCAGCTTTAAGAGCTCACAGCAAGCCTCTCTCTTTAACCTAATCCCAGTATCTTATCTACCACCCTGTCTAAGCATTACCTATGTCAGTTAGCTGTTCTAACTAACTGCATGGGAAGCAACAGCTTTTAGATAAATTACCTTTATCTATTTTTATTTTTTTTCTTTTCATTGATTATTTTTCCCTTGATCTGTTTCCTTGATCTTTCCTTCATTTATTGCTTCAAATTCACTGCACATTTAAGTTTTTTCCAAGATGCACTATTTATCATTTGTCCATAGATGTGTAATGGCACTAAAGAGCCCTCCATGACTTTGTGTCCAAGATATACTTTTATTCAGAAAATGTTCTCAAAGCACTGTCAGCTCCAAGCTCTGAACACTGAAAGGCACTGCATTTTGTCTGCTCAATTCAGAAAGGATTTAAAGCAATTTCTTTACTGAAATGCAGGTTCCTATAAATGGCAGCATTCATGAAGTGAGGCAGCACTCTCTTAAAAAGCAGACTCTAAAGACCTTATTAAACACACATCACTTGGGAAAAAATGGAGCAATTCTATTTGATGTCCTCTTCTGCTTATGATGACTGACATCTCAAAACATCATCTAATAGTCTGCTGCATGCCGATACTCTCAGTAACAACTTACATCTGGACATGTTTTCATTTACTTTGTGTGACAAGAAAACAAAAGGTGTACTGGTTATTTGGTAAATCAAGTTGAACTACTTAAGAACACAGTGTTTTGTCTGTGCCTCCAGAAAACAGTTGCATATATAGCTGAATGTAAGTAATTGACAGCTTTATGGCTGCAAAGTTCTTCCAATATATCAGAACTCTTGTTTTCTGAAGCTTCAGCCCTGTCCAAAGTAGGATCTCTATTTTTTCTACCTTTGGGGACCAAAAGGAGAATTCCGTCCTGAGCAGTTTCTCTCATGTTGGAGGGCTTCCTCTAGGACTCACTCACAGAGTGGTTAATTCAGTTACACGTAATATATGCTCTTGCCTTGCTGCACACAAGCAAAAGCATTACACGAGTACAGTTTGAAGAATGCACGTTGCCTAAGTACTGTGAAATATTGCAGTAGGACCAGTGTGCTCCTGAGCACCTGGAAGTATTTGCTGCAATTCAGAAGCTGATTTCTACCCCTCCAAGTATATCACTCTGGTCAATGTCCACATCTGGTGGACAATCCACAGCATGTAGGAAGATCTTCTAAATGCTGCAGCCAGTCTTGTGCCATCAGTTTCGTGTCATACTAATGAACTGAAGAAAGGCTTTTCATTCAATTCTTCTTGGTTTTTCTGCACTCATATGTAGCTCACCACCAAGAGTGCTTTTCTAAGAGGCCAGTGAATAAAAGTCTGGTCCACAAAATCTTAACTTCTATAGTCCAAGTTTGTAATCAATGGAAAGCTCAAATTTTCTCCTAAGAAAATACCTCACACCAATCAAGGCAAACACAGTAATTTGGTACAAAAAATTCCCATCACAATCTACCTGTGTAGAAGGCTAATGTTTAATTCATCCTTACAGTTCTGCCTGAGTGAGTCCTACCATTCATAACCCTTCTGGTAAGCATTTCAGTAAACTTCTATTCCTTCTGTCCAAGTGAAGAGAATGGATACTGAACAGATATTGAACAGTACTAATACATATGCGTTGAGGTAACCTAAATATGCAGTGTTTCTCATAGTCCTTTTCACTACTAGATTGCATCTACTCAAGATAGAAGCCCTGAACTGTTGTTTATATTCACCTGTTCCTCTCTAGTTTTCCTAGTTGTACTATTTATAGGCTTAGTTGGTAATTAAACTTGATAGTGTTTCTTGTTTCCTTAATGCAAATAATTTTCATATGATAACTATACAGTTTTATTAATGAGTCTGTAAAGGATATCTCAAATATAAAAGATTCCAAGGCTATATTACATTATAAGACTCTGGAGTCAGGAGGGAAGCAAAGCTATTCTGGCACTAAAAACCCATCTCTCAGTAAACCAATATATTTAAGAAAACTTTTAAGTCTCTATGACAACATTCTATTCCTTTCAATGATGCTGATTTGGTATTCACAGAATAAAAGCAAGATTTACCACGACACACCAAAAACCTTCTCAGAGTTAAAATTTGCAAGCAGAAAGGTCTGCAATCTGCAGTACTCCTCTCTCAACACCTCACAAAATCTCAACAAGCATTCCAGAAACTACCTCCTTTTCATCAAGTTGCAAGTAAAATCTGTGGTTTGGACCCTCATGAGTCTTATGATACCACCTGAAGTATTGTCCAGCAACATCCAGGTTTGCAGGACTGCTTGAGGTAAGGACACAAACAGATCTGCAAAAAGTCTCCACTTGCTGGGAAACTGAACCCAGACTTCATTTCTCATAACCGAGTAAGGGAAGAGCTATTCTCGAGACACTTTTTCCCCAGCTCTTCCATGTAAGAAAAGTCTTAGTACCCCTATGGTTTCCAGAAAACACCTCCAGAGGGTGATTTAAGATCCTTCTTCAAATTTACTGGGTGACACCGCCAGACCTCAGCCCCCTCTAAAGCATGTGGATAGATGGACCATTACTAACACTTTTATTATTTTAAGGATGCAATTGAGATGCATCTTGGTATAAAGGAACATTTCATCACAGTTACCATTATGGTTTTAACTGGCTTTTTCTCCTAGTCCTGTCACTGATACTCCCGTCTGGGTCTTGCTGTTCCCAATGTGACATAGAATGTATTTGACTTCTGGCTGAAATAAGTTTCAGGAAATGATCACTGTACCTCAGGCATGATAACGGGCATTATTCCTAACCCTGAGCACAACATTATACTAAGTAATTCCGAGCTTCCCAGCCATCAGTGGTCTTTTTCAACCATTAAATGCGTGTATACCTTGTCCCAGAAGAATTGCTGCCATTCCGCTGCTTTCAGCCCCACCTCTTTTCTTTCTTCATCTTTCCAAAAAATAAGCTTACAGTTACGGTGACTTCACTGATATTTTGCATAATCTTTTTCCTTTAATACTTAGATTAAAACCTACCTTGTCCTGAAGGATTTGCTGCCATCCTTCAATTTTCAGCCCTTGTTTTATTCAGCTGCAGTTCAAGTCTTTTAACCCCCACAAATATCTGCAAAACAAGCACAGTATAAGATAATCATACTCCTGTAAAAGAAGAGCTTGGAATTCAATCGGGCAAAATAAATAAATATGGCAACTGTTAGAAAGCACAAGCTGAACACAGCATGTGTATTGCTTAAAATGTATTACACAATTTGTATTGTTCTGACGGAACTTTTGGCTTGAAATATCACGGGTTGTGATCGACCCTTTTTTTTCAGATTCTAGTGATTTCTATTAGTAGAAGTAGTAGTAAGTTCTCGCAATTTCTATTCTAGTAAAAATAATATATGTAATTAGTCACACACTTATCTTCCCAACTGAACTTCTTCCTGATAAGGTATCTCAGACTACACTTAAGAATCACATCAAACCTTTGTAGTCCTTAAAAGTTGAAGCCTTGGAAGAACCCAGTTTAGGCTCTAACTCAAGAAAAACTGATTGTCTGAGGAAAGGCAATTTAAATCCCAGATACAAGGCGAGCCGGAGTTGGCTGCAGCTGTGGCAAAACAAAAAAGGAGGCCTGCTCCTCGGTCATACGTCACCTCGGACCACCATCAACATCTGTTTCCATCAAGGTGCCAGGCTGTAAAGTGCAGCGCGAAGGGCTCTGGCTCAGCCAGGCGGGAGCCGAGGGATGAGAACGCTGAATCCTGCAGGAAACGTGAAACAGAAGTCAGTCACACTTCACAGGAGACCAGGTCATTGCTACGCCCTGGACCTGTGGGTCCCTGAGCAGCAACACTGCGGTGATTTAATAACTGAATGACAGTATTAATTAAACGCAATGATACCAGCCGGCACGGGTTTCTCCAAGAGCCATGGACAGCCTGACCCACTCCCGCCGCTGCCCGCCTCCCCCCACACGGTTCGGGAATGGACTCTCCCGCTCGCCTCTTCCCGCCCGCCCACAATGGACGGATGGCCTCCCGGGCTCTTCCCGACCCGGCGGCGATACTCCGCCTCAGCCCGGCCGGCTTGGCTCGGGCCCCTGCAGTCCTGCCCGCCACCCACCTGCCCGAGGGCGCGGAGCCCCGGCTCCGTCTGCCCCGCTCGCCCTTCCCGCAGCGCGGCCACGCCGCCTCCGCCCCCTTCTCGTGACGCTTGCACAGCGCGACGGCGCCCGCGCCTCCCCTCACTCTTCCCGGGCCCTCCTCCCTTCCCGTGCCCTCCCCTCACACTGCCCGGGCCCTCCTCCCTTCCCGGGCCCTCCCCTCACACTGCCTGGGCCCTCCTCCCTTCCCGTGCCCTCCCCTCACACTGCCCGGGCCCTCCCCTCCTCCCGTGCCCCCCCGGCCGTGCCCGCGCCCCGGGAGGGTCGGTGTGGTGCGTGTGGAGGCGCAGGCAGGCCGCGGGGGGTGTTCAGCGGTAAGGCGGGGTTTGCCTGTGTTCGCTCCTGCTGCATCTGCCTGGGGACGAGAGCAACCGCGAGGGTTTCAGGCTGGTGCCACACTGCGGGGACTCCAGGCAGCATCGCGGTTAAATAGTAAAAAAATTCCACAAGTGGAAAGGAAGAGGTCACCGGATCGGGTTGGAAAAGACCTCCGAGGTCATGGAGTCCAAGCTGTGACCCACCATCACCCTGTCAACCAAACCATGGCACTGAGTGCCACATCCAGCCATTGCTTAACACCTGCAGGGACGCTGACTCCACCGCCTCCCTGGGCTGGACAGCTCACTCCAAAGTCTAATCTCTCTTCCAGGGAAGAACTTCCCCTGGCGCAACTTGAGGTTGTGTCATCTTGTCCTATCCCTTTTTTTTTCTTCTCTAAATCACTGCCATGCAGATTGTGTTTGATCACAGCAGCAAGACTTTTTATGCCCTTGTGGTTAAAGTACCTGCTTGAATCAAACTGGATTGAGTAGCAGCTGTAGCTTTGATTGTACATAAATAAATTATTAAGCACTACTATAAATAAATAATTTAACAACTGCATACAGATAGGGCGAACACTGACCTCTCTGTAGCCAAAAATCAGTCACATTGTCTTCTTTAGTTTTATATGCAGGGGTTTTTTTTAGGCACTAAACAATTCTCATGAAATAAAGACCCTTTTTCTTCTCTACCTGAATGTAAGGATTAGAACAGGAAATCAGTTAATTTTTTATGACTTTGTTCAAGATGTCTATGTAGACATGCTTTTACTGCAGGACATTTAATTTTTTAATATTAAGGTTTTGATGGTGACCCTTATAGCAAAGGTGATATTGGATCTGGTAGTCGAACCTTTTGTATGCTGCAGGGCATTTGATATCTTCTGCTTTCTCTTTCATCAAATACTGGAAGTCCATAAACTCGTCACTCTTCAGGCCTAAATTGAAAAAAAGAGCTAATTAAAAAACTGTTGATTTAATTGAGTTATTTTTAATGGTAAAAACACACATAGGGTGTACATGGTGCTAAATGTCACACTTACTCATTAGCTTGGACAACCACACGTATACAGAAATATTAAATGCAATTAACAATTTCTTAAGATCTGCTGCAGCCAGCTTCACTAGATCGTGAAGAAATAAATTACATTAATATAAATAAAAATAAATTAATTAATATAAATAAATTAATATAAATTAAAATTTTGGGAGTGTACAGAATACATAAAAATCTTGTCAGTATCTATAATAATGGATTAATTTGTCTTAAAATAGTGTGCCTTAGTATTATACACATGGATTCTATGAGATAGGCAATATTCTGCTAACCAAGTATGCTGTCTCTTCTTCCATTTATACTTTTCAAAGATTCACAAAGTATTTAACATTTGTAAAACTGAACAAATTTGTGTCTGGAAACTCTGGAAACTTGTAATGTCCGGATGTAGAATTTAGTTACCTGTATTGTTTGCCTGGTAAAAGCTGTGTGTATGTGTGTCTGTGTGTGTGTGTTTGTGTAGGGGTATGTGTGTGCGTGCCTGTACCCAAACTAGCAGACAATCTCAGGGAGTTTTCTCTTTACTTTAAAGCCCTGCTGATTAATACTGTGGGAAGCAAACATTGCTGCCATTCCCACATACTTGTATTATTGTCAACTGTTCTCTTTGCATGAACAGCTGACTGAGCACCTGCCCTCCTGATTCTGTTCTGGTATTGTTTTTTACTTTGTTTCAGTTTGTGATTTCTCATTCTGCCCTTAGAAATGTCATATGTGCTAATTTTTTCCCTTTTAATTATCCCTTTGATGATTTGCAGACCATTTTATCTAGACACCTCACCTGCAATCATTAACTGTGCAGAAGCAGGGTGAGTGAAGAGCAGCACAGCATGCAAACTAATAATCCTACCTGGTGCAATTCTCTGTGATGTCATTCCAGGACTGAGGATGTGATTCTAAAATGCTGCAGTTTGAGGCAGACAGGCCTAGCTGCTGTGCTCCTCTTTACACAGCTAGCCCTTGTAAGAAGAATTAATTAATGGACAATGATCCTTATTTGGGGATCAAGAAAGGAAGACAGAGAAGGAAGAAGGAGCAGGGCAAGGAGGAAGAGTCATCAGCAAGGAAACTCAGATGAAGAAGATATGGGACTCATTTCTGTGCAAGTGTAGTGAATGTGATCATAGTAGTAACTTCTAGCATCTCTACAAAAACATGGTCATGCCTCAAGTCAAATGATTTCTTGGCTTTGGGAGGAGTTTCACATCAATATAGATGTAAGAGAGACAGGAAGAAGTGTAACCCTTTGAAGGAATGGTGTCTAATCTCTGATGTGTCAGAATGCTTTTGCCTGAAATTCCTCCTGCTTGTTCAGCATAAGCAAATAAAAAATTGTAAAATAAAGCATTTATAGCATGTCTTTTGTAAACCCACTACAAAATCTTCAGTTTAAAAGGAGGTTTTTCTTGAACACTGCCTCACAAATCTTGCCATGCTTTTCCTTCAGGCAATGAAATGTTTTTCAGGCTGGCTGTTATCATCTTGGAGTACAGGGAGCTGTGTATCCCATTATGTAAACAAAAGCTGTGTTAAATTGAGTATAGTTCTAAATGAATATAAACTGCAACACAGAAATGTGGTGGGATGACTCACATAGCTGGAGTGCTGCACTGGATGGCTACAAGCTCTTCAGAAGAGACAGGAAAGGGAGAAGACGTGGAGGGGTGGCCCTTTATATTAGGGAGGCTTTTGATGCCATGAGTACTGAAACTAATGACAATGAGGTTGAATGATTATGGGTAAGAATTAAGGGGAAGGCTAAAAAGGCTGGCATCCTACTGGGAGTCTGTTATCATCCACCCAACCAGCAAGAAGAGGTAGACAACTTACTCTATAAGCAGCTGGAGAATGTTTCAGGATCACCCACCCTTGTTCTTGTAGGTGACTTCAACCTGCCAGGCATCTGCTGGGAACTTAATACAGCAGAAAGAAGGCAGTCCAGGAAGTTCTGAGAGTGTGTGGAGGACAGTTTTTGTTGCAGCTGGTGAGTGAGCCCACCAGAGCTCAGATACATTAGATCTGTTGTTTGCAAATAGAGATGGGCTGGTGGGAGATGTGGTGGTTGGAGGCTGCTTGGGGCACAGTGATCATGAAATTACAGAATTCTTGGTATTTGGTGAAATCAGGAGGAACATCAATAAGACTTTTACATTGGACTTCCGGAGGGCAGACCTTGGCCTATTTAGGAGACTTATTCAGAGAGTTCCTTGGGAACTAGCCCTTAAAACAAAGGAGAAAGGTGGATGTATTTCAAAACAGATCTTGAGGGCACAGGAACAGACTATCTCTTTGTGCCAAAAGAGGCACAATGAGGCAAATGTCCAGCCTGGATGGGCAACTGTTGGTTTTTCCTACAGGCAACGAGGTTTTGAAGGAACTTAGGAATAAAAAGAGGAAGTATCATCTTTGGAAGGAGGGTCAGCTCTCTCAGGAAGTATTTAAGGGAGTTGCTAGGGTATGTAGGAAAGAATTAGAGAGGCCAAAGGTCAGTTCACACTTAATTTGGCAACTTTTGCAAAGGATAATAAAAAATGTTTTTACAAATATATTAATGTCAAAAGGAAGGGTAGAGCCAATCTTTGTTCTCTATTAGATGCAGGAGGGAACTTAGTAACTGCAGATGAGGAGAAGGCAGACGTGCTTAATGGCTTCTTTACCTCAGTCTTTAGTGGGAAGATGGCTCGTCCTCAGGACAGCTGTCCTCCTGGGTTGGTGGATGATGTCAGGGAACAGAATGGTCCCTCTGTTATCCAGAAGGAGGCAGTCAGAGAACTGCTGAGCTGCTTGGATGTTCATAAATCTATGGGACCAGATGGGATTCACCCCAGGGTGATGAGGGAGCTGACAAATGAGCTTACAAAGCCTCTCTCCATCATTTACCAACAGTCCTGGATCACTGGGGAGGTTCCAGGTGACTGGAAGCTGGCCAATGTGAGACCCATTCACAAAAAGGGTGGGAAGGAGGATCCTGGTAATTATAGGCCAGTTCGTCTGACCTCAGTACCCAGTAAGGTAATGGAACAGTTTATCCTGATGCCATCACACAGCATTCAAAGGGTGGCCAGGGTGTCAGACCCAGCCAGTGTGGGTTTAGGAGGGGTAGGTCGTGTTTGACCAACCTGGTCTCCTTTTATGGCCAGGTGACCCACCTGGTGGATGTGGAAAAGGCTGTGGATGTTGTACCTGGACTTCAGCAAGGCCTTTGGCACTGTCTCCTACAGCACATCCTGGAAAAGCTGCAGCCCATGGCTTGGACAGGAGCACTCTGTGCTGGGTTAGGAACTGGCTGGATGGGCCCAGAGAGTGGTGGTGAACAGTGCTGCATGCAGCTGGAG